TTTCCTATCAACTCTCTTTCCCACTGAACTTCCTGCAGGAAGGTCCTCATACCTGTTAGTCCCCCCTTTTATAGTTTGGCTTTTCCCTTTCTACTCCTGTTACCCTCTTCACTTGTAGCTCTACGGTGTAGTCAAAGCTCAGAACCGCGTGGTCACTAGCTCCAAGGGGCCTTTGATATGTGATGTCCTCGATGTCTGAGCTACTCAGGGTGAACACAAGGTCCAGTCTTGCTGGTTCATCTTCCTCTCTCTCTCTGGTAGTGTCCCTTCCCAGTACCACATCCATCATCTTGGCTCTCCATGTTTCTGGACCCCCATGTGGCTCCAGGTTTTTCCAGTCAGTCTCCCCGTGCATGTGTGTGTGTGTGTGTGTGTGTGTGTGTGTGTGTGGTGTGTGTGTGTGTGTGTGTGTTTGCATGTGTGTATGTGTGTATGTGTGTGAGTGTGTGTATTCTCCTAGTTGTATCTGAGAGATCTGAGCTCCAGCACTTAGGCTGTACCTTAACCCTTCCATTAACTGGCAGACTACGTGCATTTTGGGGCTTCGTTAAATTATTTACGATACTGCTGTTTACGCTTTTAGAGATGGCGTCCACCCTGTCCCTTCTTAATGCATGTATATGTATATGTGTATGTATCTCTGATATTTCTGTAATAGAAAAAAATATACATGTTTAATAGGCTTAATGTATTTATCTTCTATTGAAGTTATACGCAGTGAGATCCATTGGCATCTTAGTGGTCAAAGAATTATTTGCTTTGAAATAGTTATCCAGAAGATGTACGTACTTATATAGACTTGAAAAACTTGGTCTCTAAGAGAAGCGTCACTATATCGCTTTCGTGTCTTCCGTAAGCCGTTGTCTCTAGTTAAACAATATTACAGAGGAATTGTTATAAGAACGAAGTGAATATATTTTAGACTATAAGAAGAAGTGTCCCACTTTATAACTCTCCCTTCGATTCTTGCTTATAAATTCAAAAGTGAGATTTTTTATTGTTATTATTATTTGGCTGAAAATTTAACGCTGGAATGCCGTGTTATGATGAATATTGAATAGAAGAAATATATATTTATTTTAATGGTGTATTTGTTGCAATATCACTAACACAAAAATTTTTTATAGATTAAAATAGTGGACTGTGTGTAGTACAACATTTAGAATTATGGGGCTCCAAATGTTTATAAATAAAAGCCTAGAACATTATTTTAATAAGTCTTTTAAAACATTCTTTCTATTTGGGAGACGTCTATCACATCAACAAAGATCACCGGCGAGGGTGGAAAGGCTATATCTCCTGCCCCTGTTCACCTAGCAGTAAGAAGGTACCTGGGTGTTAGAGAATTGGTGTGGGTGCATCCTGGGGCGTGGTAGTCTACCTTAGGGCGAGTTATCGTATTTAAATTAAATTATCATTCATGGAAATTAAATTTAGGAAATGTCTTAATAAGGTTTGTTTAAAAAATCAGATAATAAATAATTTTTCAGATCTGAGCGCCAGTTTGTGATTGTAGAAATCTATATTGTGGTCAGAACACAACACTATTTGTGTTGTCCCTCCTAACATCTAGTTTTCAGCCACACGTTATTACCATAATCAAATGCGGTCATTAATGGAATTTTGAAAAAACGACAACTAGAGCCACTATGGTAAAGTTGCACGAAGGACGAGAAGCAGCAGCAACAGAAAGAGTAGCAGTAGGCGCAGCAGCAGCAGTAATAGCAAAGTAGCCGCAGTATTAATAATTGTAGCAGCACTGTCATTCTGGGCCCGAGGTCTGGTGATGAGGGGAAGAGTGGTTACTGAGAGGAGGAGCACCAGTAGGTGAGGTTCTCCCCAAGAAGGATGAGGAAGGCCACGCCTGGGAAGGTAGTTACTGAGGCGAGGATCACCAGTGGGCGAGGTTCTTCCCCCCCCCAGCAAGGTGAGGAAGGCCACGCCTGGATGGTAGTTACTAAGGGAAGGAGCACCAGTGGGCGAGATTCTCCCCCAGCAGGGTGAGGAAGGCCACGCCTGGGAAGGTGGTTACTGAGGGGATACCTGGTTACCTGGAGGTTATTCCGGGAATCAACACCCCCGCGGCGCGGTCCATGACCAGGCCTCTCGATGGATCAGGGCCTGATTAACTAGGCTGTTACTGCTGGCCGCACGCAGTCCAACGTACGAGGCACAGCCCGGCTGATCCGGCACTGACTTTAGGTATCTGTCCAGCTCTCTCTTGAAGGCAGCCAGGGGTTTATTGGCAATTCCCCTAATGCGTGATGGGAGACTGTTGAACAGGAAGGAAGACCAGTGGGCGAGGTTCTCTCCCCAGTAGGGTGAGGAAGGCCACGCCTGAGAAGGTAGTTACTGAGGCGAGGATCACCAGTGGGCGAGGTTCTCCCCCCCCCAGCAAGGTGAGGAAGGCCACGCCTGGAAGGTAGTTACTGAGGGGAGGAGCACCAGTGGGCGAGGTTCTCTCCCCAGCAGGGTGAGGAAGGCCACGCCTGGGAAGGTAGTTACTGAGGGGAGGAGCACCAGTGGGCGAGGTTCTCCCCCCCCAGCAAGGTGAGGAAGGCCACGCCTGGAAGGTAGTTACTGAGGGGAGGAGCACCAGTGGGCGAGGTTCTCCCCCCCAGCAGGGTGAGGAAGGCCACGCCTGGAAGGTAGTTACTGAGGGGAGGAGCACCAGTGAGCGAGGTTCTCTCCCAGCAGGGTGAGGAAGGCCACGCGTGGGAAGGTAGTTACTGAGGGGAGGAGCACCAGTGGGCGAGGTTCTCCCCCAGCAGGGTGAGGAAGGCCACGCCTGGGAAGGTGGTTACTGAGGGGAGGAGCACCAGTGGGCGAGGTTCTCCCCCAGCAGGGTGAGGAAGGCCACGCCTGGGAAGGTGGTTACTGAGGGGAGGAGCACCAGTGGGCGAGGTTCTCCCCCAGCAGGGTGAGGAAGGCCACGCCTGGAAGGTAGTTACTGAGGGGAGGAGCACCAGTGGGCGAGGTTCTCCCCCAGCAGGGTGAGGAAGGCCACGCCTTGAAGGTGGTTACTGAGGGGAGGAGCACCAGTGGGCGAGGTTCTCCCCCAGCAGGGTGAGGAAGGCCACGCCTGGGAAGGTAGTTACTGAGGGGAGGAGCACCAGTGGGCGAGGTTCTCCTCCAGCAGGGTGAGGAAGGCCACGCCTTGAAGGTGGTTACTGAGGGGAGGAGCACCAGTGAGCGAGGTTCTCCCCCAGCAGGGTGAGGAAGGCCACGCCTTGAAGGTGGTTACTGAGGGGAGGGCACCAGTGGGCGAGGTTCTCCCCCAGCAGGGTGAGGAAGGCCACGCCTTGAAGGTGGTTACTGAGGGGAGGAGCACCAGTGGGCGAGGTTCTCCCCCAGCAGGGTGAGGAAGGCCACGCCTGGAAGGTAGTTACTGAGGGGAGGAGCACCAGTGGGCGAGGTTCTCCTCCAGCAGGGTGAGGAAGGCCACGCCTGGGAAGGTAGTTACTGAGGGGAGGAGCACCAGTGGGCGAGGTTCTCCTCCAGCAGGGTGAGGAAGGGCACGCCTTGAAGGTGGTTACTGAGGGGAGGAGCACCAGTGAGCGAGGTTCTCCCCCAGCAGGGTGAGGAAGGCCACGCCTTGAAGGTGGTTACTGAGGGGAGGAGCACCAGTGAGCGAGGTTCTCTCCCAGCAGGGTGAGGAAGGCCACGCCTGGGAAGGTGGTTACTGAGGGGAGGAGCACCAGTGGGCGAGGTTCTCCCCCAGCAGGGTGAGGAAGGCCACGCCTGGAAGGTAGTTACTGAGGGGAGGAGCACCAGTGGGCGAGGTTCTCCCCCAGCAGGGTGAGGAAGGCCACGCCTTGAAGGTGGTTACTGAGGGGAGGAGCACCAGTGGGCGAGGTTCTCCTCCAGCAGGGTGAGGAAGGCCACGCCTGGGAAGGTAGTTACTGAGGGGAGGAGCACCAGTGGGCGAGATTCTCCTCCAGCAGGGTGAGGAAGGCCACGCCTTGAAGGTGGTTACTGAGGGGAGGAGCACCAGTGAGCGAGGTTCTCCCCCAGCAGGGTGAGGAAGGCCACGCCTTGAAGGTGGTTACTGAGGGGAGGAGCACAGTGAGCGAGGTTCTCCCCCAGCAGGGTGAGGAAGGCCACGCCTTGAAGGTGGTTACTGAGGGGAGGAGCACCAGTGGGCGAGGTTCTCCCCCAGCAGGGTGAGGAAGGCCACGCCTTGAAGGTGGTTACTGAGGGGAGGAGCACCAGTGGGCGAGGTTCTCCTCCAGCAGGGTGAGGAAGGCCACGCCTGGGAAGGTAGTTACTGAGGGGAGGAGCACCAGTGGGCGAGGTTCTCCCCCAGCAGGGTGAGGAAGGCCACGCCTTGAAGGTGGTTACTGAGGGGAGGAGCACCAGTGGGCGAGGTTCTCCCCCAGCAGGGTGAGGAAGGCCACGCCTGGAAGGTGGTTACTGAGGGGAGGAGCACCAGTGGGCGAGGTTCTCCCCCAGCAGGGTGAGGAGGCCACCTGGAAGGTGGTTACTGAGGGGAGGAGCACCAGTGGGCGAGGTTCTCCTCCCAGCAGGGTGAGGAAGGCCACGCCTGGGGGAAAGGGAGTTACTGAGGGGAGGAGCACCAGTGGGCGAGGTTCTCTCCCCAGCAGGGTGAGGAAGGCCCGCCTTGAAGGTGGTTACTGAGGGAGGAGGAGCACCCAGTGGGCGAGGTTCTCCCCCAGCAGGGTGAGGAAGGCCACGCCTGGAAGGCAGTTACTGAGGCGAGGAGCACCAGTGGGCGAGGTTCTCCCCCAGCAGGGTGAGGAAGGCCACGCCTGGAAGGTGGTTACTGAGGGGAGGAGCACCAGTGGGCGAGGTTCTCCCCCAGCAGGGTGAGGAAGGCCACGCCTGGAAGGTGGTTACTGAGGGGAGGAGCACCAGTGGGCGAGGTTCTCCTCCAGCAGGGTGAGGAAGGCCACGCCTGGGAAGGTAGTTACTGAGGGGAGGAGCACCAGTGGGCGAGGTTCTCCCCCAGCAGGGTGAGGAAGGCCACGCCTTGAAGGTGGTTACTGAGGGGAGGAGCACCAGTGGGCGAGGTTCTCCCCCAGCAGGGTGAGGAAGGCTACTCCTGTACCCAGCAGCAGCATGTAGAATGCTCCTTGCAGGTGATTCATTCCCAACACCACTCTGCTGTCCTCTTTCTGAAATTTATTAAAAATAAGTAAATTGTGTACTCCAGAATGGTATATTTTTTTAACAAATTGACTGTTTTGTTAATTATTATTATTATTGCTGTTGTTGTTGTTATTATAATTATTATTATTGTTATTATTATTATTACAATAATAATAATAATAATAATAATAATAATAATAATAATAATAATAATAATAATAATAATAACAATAATAATAATAATAACAATAATAATAATAATAATGTATATTAATATTATTATTATTATTATTATTATTTATATTATATTATTATTAATTTTATTATTATTATTATTAATATTAATTATTATTATTATTATTATTATTATTATTATTATTAATATTATTATTATTATTATTATTATTATTATTGTTGTTGTTTTTGTTGTTGTTACTCTCGGGAGCTTACAAATGGTGTAGGACTCTGGATAGCTTGTGGGTTGAGTGCTGCAGCTGCTCTATTTTCCTTGACACGCTCTGCAATCACTTCTTTTGTCCATCGGCTCGTAATTCCAACGTCTTGCAATTGCAGCATCAACTGCATAAACCTGTTGTAAAATGGAGCACCTTTCCTAGTGTAAAAAAGGTAGGAAAGTGTTCAGATTACTCTTACTTTCCATAATATTTCAGTAGCACAGAAGTACTGAGGTAGATCACAGTGTGGGATCGAAATATTCATTTTTATTTTGTGTTTTTCTTCAAAATCTAGGATATGTAAATGATTTATTAGCGTGATGGTACATACCAGAGTTACGTAATCGACAATAACACACTATACCTGCCTGAAACCCCATCCAAAGGTAGGAAATATAAGAAGGTTTAAGTAGCTGATGTAGTAGGGTGTCGGGCCTGAGCTCTCGCTGTATAGGGAGTCGATTACCACCTTGATGTTGATATAGATGGTTATGAAGGAGTAGTCTCCTGCTCTCACCTTCTCTAGTCCCTGCGTCATCATCTGAGTCTTGTGGTCACAGGTGAGAAGAAAACAAAGCTTAATTTCATAATATTTGGTGTTGTGATGTATGCTCACCGTCTTCTGTTTATTGTGAATAAACATTCCAATTGATATATGGGTCAATCCATCACTAATTTTCAATCAATTACCAATTCAGTTAATCTTCTAAGGTTCATTAGCTATAATTAAATGAATATTGTTAGTCAAGGATTATATGGATTTAAATACGGGTTGAATGCAAAAAGTGGGTTATAATAAGTGTTTATGTACCTGTAGAAAAGAGAGTGTAGAGGAGAGGGTTCTGAAATATGTTAAGTGAGTGTTTTGGGAGTTTTGAACAAGTGAGAGAATAATTGTGGTAGGGGACGTGAATGTTAGAGTTGGAGAAACGGTTATAAAGAGTGTGGTAAGTAAGTCTGGGGAGCCAGGGGTAAATGTTAATGGGAGGCCTTTGATTAAACTTTGTATAGGAAGAGGTTTGGTAATAGTTAATATATATTTTAAGGAAAAAAGGCTAAATAAATACGAGAGAGGTGGCAGTTATGATAAAATATAAGCATCTATTGGTAGGAAGATGGGGCTACATGGAAAGATGGGGCTACATGGAAAGATGGGGCTGCATGGAAAGATGGGGCTGCATGGAAAGATGGGGTTACATGGAAAGATGGGGCTACATGGAAAGATGGGGCTACATGGAAAGATGGGGCTACATGGAAAGATGGGGCTACATGGAAAGATGGGGCTACATGGAAAGATGGGCTACATGGAAAGATGGGGCTACATGGAAAGATGGGGCTACATGGAAAGATGGGGCTACATGGAAAGATGGGGCTGCATGGAAAGATGGGGCTACATGGAAAGATGGGGCTACATGGAAAGATGGGTTACAGGAAAAGAATATGGTTCTGAGTCACGTAATTATCTAATAAAATATTAACAAATATTAACGATATTTATAGAAAAATAGCAGAAAATCAGATTCAGCCTGAACATTGAGAGGTGTAAGTCTCTTAGTCTTTAATTTCCCAATGAGTAAGTGAGAGACTTTAAAATTAATTAACAAACGAAATATAGTGAATATCTTGAAAATTTCCGAGTCTGAATTCTGACCTCTCTTTCCTTATATATTTTTTGTATTACAGGATCTGTATGCTGTGAGAAATAGAGTAACGAAGCTCCAAATAACAACTGCGTTTCAATGGCCCACTTCCAATTGTTCCGAGTCACCAGGTCCTCCAAGGTGTCCGGGGGCTTGGTTTTCTCCTGGACTGACAGGTGAGCTACTAGTGAGGAGCTGTAACCTGTGGTTATGACCAGACAGAACATCAGCCACGCGCCCACCAACACCTGGGAGCATATGAGAAGCTGTAACCTGTGGTTATGACCAGACAGAACATCAGCCACGCGCCCACCAACACCTGGGAACATATGAGATGCTGTAACCTGTGGTTATGACCAAACAGAACATCAGCCACGCACCCACCAACACCTGGGAACATATGAGAGGCTGTAACCTGTGGTTATGTCCAGACAGAACATCAGCCACGCGCCCACCAACACCTGGGGACATATGAGAAGCTGTAACCTGTGGTTATGACCAGACAGAACATCAGCCACGCGCCCACCAACACCTGGGAACATATGAGAAGCTGTAACCTGTGGTTATGACCAGACAGAACATCAGCCACGCGCCCACCAACACCTGGAAACATATGAGAAGCTGTAACCTGTGGTTATGACCAGACAGAACATCAGCTACGCGCCCACCAACACCTGGAAACATATGAGAAGCTGTAACCTGTGGTTATGACCAGACAGAACATCAGCTACGCGCCCACCAACACCTGGGAGCATATGAGAAGCTGTAACCTGTGGTTATGACCAGACAGAACATCAGCCACGCGCCCACCAACACCTGGGAACATATGAGAGGCTGTAACCTGTGGTTATGACCAGACAGAACATCAGCCACGCGCCCACCAACACCTGGGAACATATGAGAGGCTGTAACCTGTGGTTATGACCAGACAGAACACTAAAACAAATACAAATAATGATGAACCTGGTAAGTCACCACTATGCTTCCACCTGTGGAAGGAAATCTGTTAACAGAAAGCAAGCATTTAATATCCATCATATATTATGTTCGGTTTAGATATACTGCGACGGTTATGAATTTCCCATTAACTGTTAATGTGAAGAAAATATTCAACAACTATATTTCTTTATTTAAGTTTAATCAGTTAATGTAATGTTATTGAGAATGATATTTAATTCAATAATTATTAACTATTTTGCTTTTAAAGAAAAGTGATAAAAGGCCCAAGAGGAAAGAATTAGAAATGAGACAAATGAAACCATTTCCAGTTGGGACATATTAATGTTGGCAACAGCATTAATAATATGATCATTGTCTGGAAGATTTCATGAGGTGAAAGAATATGAGAGTGATCTGTCAGTACAACCTCCTGGATGTTGAAATTGTGAGATAATTTCGTGTCTAATTAGTTCTGCTAGTTTAAACCCCAAGGATGGAGTATTGAAAATTTTAATCTGTTTGTTATGTATTTAGGAAATCATCATTGTTATAGACATAAGATTCTACTTTTCCTGCTTTATTGACGGAAGGGTCTGAGGGCAGGTTGGCCAGGAGAGCGCCCCAGCCATACAGGAGGATGGTGATGATGCTGACTGTGTGTGTCTCAGTGACCCACCACCATAATCTCTGCAGCAACCACAGGATCCCGCTCCACACCACCACACTCAACAACAATCCCAACCACAGTTGTCCTGCAGAAAGGAGAAAGTAATTAGCTTATACTTCTCATACCAGAACAGTAGAATAATTTATTAGTAGCTAATCAGAAATTTTTTATCAAATCCTTTTCATGTTTTTTTATATATATTATAGTAAAGAAACTAAGAGTATCATTATTTTATAATGAAACACTTCTATGACATGAGTGGGTGTTAGTTGGTCTAGCCTACCATGGGCCAGTAGGCCTGCTACAGTGCTTCCCTTATCTTAGGTACTTCTGCTCATATGATTAAGACATATTCCAAAAAAACAATAAATAAACTTAACACAAGGAAGAAATTAATCTTCTTGTTAAGGGAGAAACTCCTGTTCTGATACCAATGACGTACGTGTCAAAGGTTTTAACAGCGAGAGGAGTTGTGGCAGGAGTTGTGGCTTCGACGATACTAAGATCACCGGGTTAAAACTGTTATAGCTTAGGAACTCCATGACTGGTACACGTTCAGCAATTACTGACATTGATCCACAAATATCTGATTCCTCTCGCTGGAGATGTCCCACCATGCCAGTAAAGTTGCCATTCTTCTGCACACCATAACTACGGTCAGGTATCTCCCGGATCTCAAAACTAGTGAGCAAAGATAAAAAGAAATATATACACATACAGCTGTAATTATTAAAAATTAAGTATATAAATAATATATGAATATATATATATATATATATTTTATATATATATATATATATATATATAATATATATATATTTTATATATTTATATATAGACTACAGTGAAGCAAAATACAAAGGATAGATCATTCTTGTCAGAATATTTCATGATTTTAATACATTTTCATGTCAAACTGTTGAGAAATAGATTAATTTACCTAATATTGAGTTTTTTAGAGAGGAGAAACAGCATTCTGGCATCAAGACAGTTTCTAAGTGACACTGTGCTGCCTGGTTTATCACTGTCCAGCGTGTAATCCGTGTATGGAAAGCTTGCTAATACTGAAAACCGCATTTTACTTCCAAAAAAGTCTTGAAATTGCTCTGTTAAAAAAAAACTTATTTGTAAAATTTATCTGATAGTAAATTTCGGCCAAAACATAGGCAGTATTGTTGATTTAGAGCAAATCATGAGAAAGAGAAAATTTTAATTATTGGTAGTAGGTTGGTAGACAGCAACCACCCAGGGAGGTACTTCTGTTCTGTGGTAGTAGGTTGGTAGACACCAATCACCCAGGGAGGTACTACTGTCCTGTGGTAGTAGGTTGGTAGACACCAATCACCCAGGGAGGTACTACTGTCCTGTGGTAGTAGGTTGGTAGACAGTAACCACCCAGGGAGGTACTACTGTCCTGTGGTAGTAGCTTGGTAGATAGCAACCGCCCAGGGAGGTACTACTGTCCTGTGATAGTAGGTTGGTAGACAGCAACCGCCCAAAGAGGTACTGCTGTCTTGTGGTAGTAGGTTGGTAGACAGCAACCGCCCAGGGAGGTACTACCATCCTGTGGCAGTAGGTTGGTAGACAGCAACCACCCAGGGAGGTACTTCTGCCCTGTGGTAATACGTTGGTAGACAGCAACCACCCAGGGAGGTACTACCGTCCTGTGGTAATAGGTTGGTAGGCAGTAACCACCCAGGGAGGTACTACCGTCCTGTGGCAGTAGGTTGGGAGACAGCAATTACCCAGGGACGTACTACCGTCCTGTGGTAATAGGTTGGTAGACAGCAACCAGCCAGGGAGGTACTACCGTCCTGTGGTAGTAGGTTGGTAGACAGCAACTATCCAGGGAGGTACTACTGTCCTGTGGTAGTAGGTTGGTTAACAGCAACTACCCAGGAAAGTACTACCGTCCTAAGGTAGTAGGTTGGTAGACAGCAACTACCCAGGGAGGTACTACCGTCCTGTGGTAGTAGGCTGGTAGACAACAACCACCCAGGGAGGTACTACCGTCCTGTGGTAGTAGGCTGGTAGACAACAACCACCCAGGGAGGTACTGCTGTCCTATAATTATTTTACCCAATGGTAGCATAGCTGGTGTTTTATCTATCTATCTATCTATCTCATAAAGAAGCAAGAAACAGGTACGTCTTGCAACTTTTACTTACACTTAGGCACACTACGTATACATGTACACATATATGGATACACACCCATCAGAATATTCTATTTTCTAAATAGTTCTCGCTCTTATCTATTTCCTTTTGTGAATGATGATGTAAGTGTTTCTTGTTTTTCGGGTCACCTTTCCTCGGTGAGAAACTGCAGATGTGTTAATGAAAAAATCATCTATATAAGCTGGTTAAATTAGGGTAAAGTTTGTGCTTACGTAGTCAGTCAATGACAATAGTGTTGCGTTTTAAGGTCGTCATGTAAGTATGTGATGTAAGGATGATGTGAAAGTTTAAACGTTTTATGGTGGGGTGAGTGTAGGTTATTAGGGTGAGTTACCTGAGAAAAGTGAGTCTATTAGAATGAGTGTATCAGTTTAATATTTAGAGTAATTTGTGTGTGATACAAGTTACAGTATTAAATTAATGAGTACAAGTTAGTGTGATGTGATAGTTGTTACAGTAACATGATATAATATTAATGTAATAATTATATGGTGAGGGTGAGGTTACCAAGAGTAACCAGTAATTAGAAATATGCTTAAATACAACCTTAGAGTAATCAACAGGTTTTAAACGTAAAAAAAATTAGCTAATGACCAGTATGCATATTAATTACTGACTGAAACAAAATTAACCAATACTCGCCTTGAAATAAGTCACTCTTGGTTTCGGTGAATGAAGTGAGATTCCACAGGTGGAGGAGCTGGACGTCTGCCTCTCCCCTGTTGCAGTACAGACACCTCCGGTACACCCACACACCTCCACTCACTAATAAGCATAATTACGCAGGATATTTATCTTGAGTAATGTCTTATCATGTTTGCATGTGTTATTTTGTAGTTTATCTGGAAATTCCTCTGCTGTAGAATGTTCAGTATTATCCCACATGATGCGTGAAGATATTCCGTGAAGATAACTTGATTTCTTGCCTAGAAAATAACGATATTTGACTTGCACTTACCTTTGGCAAGGGGAATTCTTTGACGTGAGTTAAGTGGTAGTTTATGGAGAGTGAGGCTCTGGAGAGTGAGGCTCTGGAGAGTGAGGCTCTGGAGAGTGGGGCTCTGGAGAGTGAGGCTCTGGAGAGTGAGGCTCTGGAGAGTGAGGCTCTGGAGAGTGAGGCTCTGGATGGTGAGGCTCTGAAGGGTGAGGTCGTTGAGAGCCAGGTAGAGGGCGTGGATGGTGTTTCGTAGACTGTGGTGTAGAAGGACGTCCTTCACCCGTGTCCTTCCTCCCACAACAAGCACCCGGATATCGGGTAACTTCCGTAGCTCAGCTTCCTTGAGAAACCTACGTAATTCTATTTAATATTAATATCTTCTTTTACTGTATTTTCTACTGAAAATTGTGACCAACATTCATTTTTTTTTTTGACAATATCGTTATTATTTAACAGCTACTCTGTTTTTGTTACGTTGATATGTAAATTAATTTGTGTATAACAACTAATGTAGAGTAGCGGGGAAATTAATTGGGAATGGAGTAAATTTTGTGAGCTGTCTTGAAGTAAATCTTAGTCCCTGACTTAATGTAGTTTGGGTTCTTTTCTTTTCAGAAAAGTTTGCTACCAACTTCTGGCAACATCAAGCTGAAGTTTTACCCTGCGATTCTAGTCAGTGCTACAACAGCTGTTGTTCTGTAAGGCTACTCCTGGAAATGTGCTCCGTGACTGAATGTTGTTCCACTAAATTCTCCACTTCATATCATAATTACTGCTGAAATTCAATGGATGTTACACCTAGGAATCGTGGAAGCATTCTAGCTATTGAAAACATGCTGATTTTAGTATCAGACAGAGCACCGAAAATTTGAGCCTAGAAAAGTCAACTGTTGGTCGGATTCTGAAGAAAGCTGATGACACTGGTGGTTGTACAGCGCTGCGTTGAGGAAGATATGGAAGAAAACGCAAGACAACACCTCACAATAACAAGGTTATCATACAAAATAGTTTGAAGGATCCCAAGAAAGCCAGTATAGATATACAGAGAGATTTTGCTTCACCTGGCGTAAATGTTGATTCTTCAACTGTTCGGCGAAGGCTCCTTGAAGCTGTCAGAACTGCCAGAAAGCCAGTAAAGAAAGAAAGAATTATTAACTACTGCTATGAAGAAAAAACGGCTGCGGCTTGCACTCGGTCACGAGGCCCATTTTTAAGTAAACAGGTATAGATCAGTAGTAGCGAGACGGAGCAAAAGCGAACCTCTTCGGAATGGACACATTCAGCAGGCGCCAAAACACCCACCTAAGAAGATGTTTGGGATAGGCTCTGTTGGGGTAGGCTCTGGAAGGCTTGCTATTGTTGAGGGAACGATGAAGATAGACAAATACACGGCAATCCTGGCAACTCATTTCCTTCTCTTTGTGGATAGAGACTTTCCTGACGGAGAAGGCATTTTCCAGCAGGATCTTGCTCCATGCCACACTTCCAGAAAAATACTGACATTCTTCGAAGAGAGTGGGCTAACCGTTCTAAATTGGCCTGGAAACTCCCCTGACCTTAACCCAGTTGATAATCTATGGGCAATAACCAAACGCAGGATCGCGGAACAGGACTGTTCAACTGTGGATAAGCTAATTGGTGCTGTTATTAGAACCTGTACCATTACGAAGAACTTGCGGAAATTCGTTCAACATTGATCGATTATATGCCACTGCTTAGAGTAATGCTTATAAAACGAGAAGGTACTTATATCACTTATATCTATTATTAAATCAACCATCTCTAATATCATTGTCGTGTATTTCTCAAATAAACATTAATTTTCCAAATATATATCTTATTTCGCCATTATCCCAATTAATATGCACACTACCGTAATTGTAGTTAGCGAATTAGATACTACCACTAAAGCAACACAGAATTTATTTCCTTTATACTCAATCAGTCAACTTCATCTCTAAGTTTTAAGTTCAATTTATAAGTTACCTTAAGACCAAATGAGTATTGTTGGCGTCAGTGAGGTCGAGGAGAAGACCCCTGCAGGTGGTCTTACCGTCACCCCAAAGCCCATGGAGGAGGTGGTCCTTGGCCAGCTGGTCCTGCAAGAACACCATCTGTGCTTCCACCACCACTCGAGTCTCAGTACCCTCACTCAGGCGTCTGAGGGACATAAGTTTACATTGAAAGTTAAGACACATGTGCAACATCTGGATATCTTTATTGTAGACGTTTCGCCATCCAATGGCTTTATCAATACAGATTCTAGGGCATAATGCTGATTTTAGTTTCATTTGTTTATTTATAAGTTAAAAAATTACAGGAATAAATCAGTGAAAAGAGGTCTTATTTTTGGCAATAAAAGTCACATTTTTAATAACCAAAATTAGGTAGATCGCTGCAACAAAACTAATCTAAAACAGAGTGTAGTAAAATTTGAAAAAAAAACCAATATGTGGTGGACACTTTTCAGTAGAATGAGAAAAACCGACATAAGACAAGAGAACAATGTAAACAAAAAGAGAATATTTTGACCTCATTCTGAGATCTTCAGGAGGGTAACATTAAATTCAAAATTTAACAGGATAGTTATTTAACCGAGGCTACGTTTTGATGCATATCTTAATATTTCACCTGAGTATGTTGGTGGTAATGAGTGAGTGAGGTACAGTGGTGATGAGCACCAGGTGACACCCACTCAGATAATCGTCCACCAACTGACCCACCATCACGCCCACATCCACGCCCACCTGCTCCAACGCTCCTCCCACTTCCTGGCTAGTCATGGTCACAGTCTTGATCACCGCCGATACGAGCACTGTTATGTAAATATCGGGCAGCATCGTTCCTACCTAAAATAAATAGATAGAAAAATATAGATATGTGTTTGTGTGTGTGTGTCTTTTTTAGGTCAGGAATTATTTAATATAAATGCACAACCACCGAGAGTTGTATACCTCTCAATGAAACCTCACGGTGTCCCGTGGCTTGATTGGCAACGCTCTCGCCTCACATACTGAGTGTCAGTGATTCAATCCCCGGCCGGGTGGAAACATTGAACGTGTTTCCCTACACCTGCAGTCACTGTTCACCTAGCAGTAAGCACCTGAGTGTTAGTTGACAAACATAAATATAATAGTGCTTCATATCAATGATTATGAATTTCCTGCAGCTTTTCTGAAGCTGGATATGAGACAAGTATGCAGCAATCATTTCCCCTCTGGGTGGAGACGCTGGAACATAAAAGTGGCTGCCCTCGGGTCGCTGGTGGTATCAATGAGCCTTGAGCCCATTTCTTTAAGGAAACGTGTGCCATTTTTTCCCCATGATCCCAAGGTGTCCGATCCCACTGGGACAAATTGATAATGATGGGTTATGTCTCCGTACTTACTGATCTTGAACTCCTCCCTGTGATCAGTAGCACCTTACTGTTGCCCAACGCTTTGGCGGAAGGAGGTATCAGCCAGAGTCCACACTCAGGTATAGTCCCATGCTAAAAGCTTGCCATTCTTCCGGGATAGATAGTGATGCCGTCTGGGCGGTTTACGGGAATGTGAGAATTGCTGGATATTAGGGATTGGGGCTCTTTCTCACCTGGGCACCCAGCTTTAGCAAGCCTCCTTTCTATGATATCATTGACTTCATTATGTCTTACATGCCAACCCTTGGTTTTGGAACTGGGGCTGCTAAGCGGAAAGCACTGTGGGAGAAGTTCCTCCTAACATTTCCCATTTCGGGAACTGTTAGGAGAAAGTCCCAAGTACGATGTGCACTCACAGCTTTGAGACGGACAATCACCCTGTTTGACATTGTGGCCATGAACATGTTATGCACCTTTTCAGTAATCTGGCCATCCCATTTGTACTGTTTCTAGGACAGTGTTGCAGTGGATTTTATCACTGGAGAAGCGAGAATCTCACACACACACACACACACACACACACACACACACACACACACACACACACACACACACACACACACACACACACACAGTATGTACACTCTTTTTATGTGGAATATTGGCTTACAAATCACTGTCGTAGAATAAAGATGAATATCACAATAAATTTCTACATTGTTTATTGATTTTTCACGGCTGAATATTGTATATGAATCTTATGCTGATACGGAAATAAAAGTTGGTACACATAAATAAACTGTGTTTATCAAGATTAACGAATACTAGTAAGCCAGGTCACGTGAGCTAACAAGCCAAGTCACGTAGAATAGCAAACTAGGTCACGTGAAATCTTTGTGCTCATGACCGACAGTTATACTCACACGTAGGTTTCATAAAATTACTTAATAACTGTAAACATTTGGAAAATTGTTTTGCACATTTAAGTAAAACTGTAGTAAATTATATGTATTGTTAAGCATTCCTTTATGAACAATAAATATGTAAAATTGTAAATAATATTTCATCATAATTTGGAGAGACATATGCTGCCAATAATGTTCTTCTGGTCTGGAGCGGCAGAGGAGACGCATTGAGTGAGAAATATGAGAAACACTTGTCATGTACCGTTGTTTTGTAGAGCTTACAGATAACCTAAGCTTTCCTTTGGGACGATGAGACAGATTTCTTTGAAACTGCTGTGGTATTTTCCCTCTGCAATTCCACTTTGTTATGCATTTGTAAACAGTGGAGATGCAAACTTGATATTTGACAGAAATGTCTCGTGCTGACATCCCGGTCAGGTAGAGCATCACTACTCTGGCTCGATCGCTCACTGAGAGTCGTCTTCCGGAGTTTCTCTTCTTCATTGGACTGCTTTACTTAAACTGAAATGTGATGTATCTGTTCAGTTTCTTGGCTGCAAAAAATGGTCGAACAAATGTTTTAAATCCTTTATTAATATTATTTTTTTGCATATTCAACTGTATTCGGTCATGTCAGACATGCCTCTATAATGAAATCTTTCAGGCAATTTTACGATAAGACATTCCCCCCTTTTTTCAATTTATATTATTTTTAAGAATTCGTCTGAACGTTTAAACATTACCCGGATTGACCGGTATGTCCAACTAGCTTACCTATAAAAGGATCTTTAGTATTCGTCAGCATTAACTATTATTTAAATTATTTTTCATTTAACTTTCTATGTAGTATCTATATATAATCTTATTTGCATTTTTACGATTAGACTCTAATTATTATTTTATTATTTATTTATATTATTATTATTATTATTATTATTATTATTATTTTATTATTATATTATTATTATAATTATTATTATTATTTATATTATAAATTATTATTATTATTATTATTATTACTATTATTATTATTATTATTATTATTATTATTATTATTATTATTAAATTTTATGTGGGAGATCTAAACCAATAAGGGTTGCACACCACGAATTTTACAGTTAACACATAAGCAAGCCAACATCATTGTTTAGTTATCAGTGTAACAAGACATGTGTGTGCTCACGCTTGCTTGCAATTCAAGAAAGGGTCAACACTACGGTAATAATGATAACTCATGTAACTTGTCTGAAACGAACTATACGAGCACAGTCGGGAGACCCCCGAGGACACTGTTTTTATGATGTTTGCTAGAGATCTGGAGGTAGGACAGAGGAGTAGGGCAAGAGTAAGTTTAGAGAGAAAAGACGTGATGAAGAGGAGGAATTAAGTTGAATACCAGAGAAAGAGGTATATTTTGCTTAAAACATCCAGTCTTCACGTTGAATTTGGCATCGGTATCGGCGGCGATGTTCGGCGTTATAAGCCGGAAGTGATACGAAGAGGGAAGTGATTGCAGTGATGGAGATCTAAACAAGAGAGGCAAAACAGACTCAAAGCTTCAGTTATGCATCGACAGTTCCAATCAAGTATTACTCTTCCAATGTTCAAACTGGCAGACAGCTCCACCGTCCCTTTATAACTGATATGCTAATTTAAATTAGGTATACATCGGTATGTCAAATGGTGCTCATAGTTAACACCTATAAAAAAATGAGAGGGGTAACTTCTCTTTAGTAACAAAATTCCTTTCTGCTGCTTCCTAAATACAGTAGAACGTCTACAGTAGTTTCTATTGACGTATTTTTGATGCATTATCAAATTTATCTCCAGCTCCCTAATGATAAATCATCAGTATTTGTTTCTTAGTTTTTGTAAATTATTTTCAACTCATTTAGAGACAATGTACCTTAAGACAGATGACTGCGCTGAGCGGTAGATTGTGCACCTTGCAGCAGCGCCCAGTGAACAAATGAATCAGTAACCTGGACCTGCTGTATTTATACCCGGGAGGCAACAAGAGCATCTCAAGTTGCCACTAACATTAATCAGGGTTTGACGCATGCGAGATTGAAGTGACGTGTGTGTGTGTGTGTGTTTGTGTGTGTGTAAACCATTTGTTTGATCAGAGTTATTTTTTTTAACAATATTGTCAAAGAATATTTACGAAAAAATATTATAAATTACTGTTTCTCACATTTTTCCTTCATTAAAATAATAGCGTTCACGTCAAGAAAATGGGTAGGTCATAAAATGTACTAAAATTCTATTTCATGTATCTAGGTAAAACAATTTCGTGATACACTGATTTTAAATTATTTGGGAGAAAAAGCACAATTGTTGATTACGAAAGACATTCTTTTTTTTATCAGCCTTTCGTTTTATAACATCATAAACAATGCCATCCACATCTAAACATATTTCTCTCAGAGTTTCAGGATTAATCTTCGTGCTGACGTATCTAAATTCCTAGCAGGGTGAGGTGGTTACTGAGGGTCGGAGCACCAGTGGACGAGGTTCTCCCCCAGCAGGGTGAGGTGGTTACTGAGGCGAGGAGCACCAGTGGGCGAGGTTCTCCCCCAGCAGGGTGAGGTAGTTACTTAGGCGAGGAGCACCAGTGGGCGAGGTTCTCCCCCAGCAGAGTGAGGTGGTTACTTAGGCGAGGAGCACCAGTGGGCGAGGTTCTCCCCCAGCAGAGTGAGGTGGTTACTGAAGCGAGGAGCACCAGTGGACGAGGTTCTTCCCCAGCAGGGTGAGGTGGTTACTGAGGCGAGGAGCAGTGGGCGAGGTTCTCCCCAGCAGGGTGAGGTGGTTACTGAGGCGAGGAGCACCAGTGGGCGAGGTTCTCCCCCAGCAGAGTGAAGTGGTTACTTAGGCGAGGAGCACCAGTGGGCGAGGTTCTCCCCCAGCAGGGTGAGGAAGGCCACGCCTGTACCCAGCAGCAGCATGTAGAATGCTCCTTGAAGGTGATTCATTCCCAACACCACTCTGCTGTCCTCTTCCTGAAAATTTGAAAAATAAATTTTGTGCAGGTGACATATATATAAACACTGATCTCTGGCTGAAGGAGACTCGAACCTGCTCTTGCGAATTTCTTTCATTGTTAATATCTCTAGTAATGCTGATGCATGCAGGGGATGAGATGAAAAGCTGTAAGCCTTCTCCCTGAAAGCTGGCTGCCTTGGATCAAAGTCTAGCGCAAGCTGGACTCCAAGGTATTGTCCAGTGTGGGTAGATTGTAAAGCACTGCCTACCTTGTTCCAAGGTTCGTAGGTTCGAGTCTCCTTCAGCCAGAGATCAGTGTTTGTGTATATTTCGCCTGCTCTTGCGAGTTCCTTGCAGGTGATCTATATATATATATAATATATATATATATATATATATATATATATATATATATATATATATATATATATATATATATATATATTATATATATATATATATATATATATATATTGGGGGAGTTGAATGATAGTTCTAGGTCTTTCGTGTTGTAATCAACCATTATCAAGAGCTTGCAATGCTGCAGAAAAGAAGACTAAATTCGAGCAAACACGTTCAGAGTTTTTTTTTTAGACTGAGGGAAGAGGGAAGCAGTAAAGGATTACTGCCCAGTGCCTGGTGCCTGGTGCCTGGTGCCTGGTGCCTGGTGCCTGGTGCCTGGTGCCTGGTGCCTGGTGCCTGGTGCCTGGTGCCTGGAAGACTGAATATTTTTTAAGGCATTATCTATGATGTAAAAGGCTTAACATTCTAAATATTAATATCTGGCAATTATCTAGGCATTTTCCATACATTAGAATAATGGACCGCGATTCGAAACCTTGGTCCAGACCTTATGATTATTATTATCACTGTAACTGTTATTACTATAAAGTCTGAGGTGCTCACATATGATGTAGTGCTCGAGACAGGTTGTGGATTGAGTGCTGCAGCTGTTTTGTTCTCTCTAACACGTTGTTCCATCACATCTTTCATCCATCTGTTGATAATTCCAGCACCTTGCAAGCTGAACATCAACTGCATAAATCTATTAAAAAATGGAGCCCCTTTCCTAAAGTGGAAAAAAAAAGAAAACAGCTAAGTTTAGTTTTTATGGTCATAATTACTCAGCGCAGAAATGCTGAAGAACAAAATTTTGAATTTACATTCCTTTCAGTTGTTATAAAAGCCAGGTGAAAAAATATTGCCAGAGTTACATAATCCCTTGAAAACAATCAGCATTAACACTATACCTGCCTGAAACCCCATCCAAAGCCAGATAGTAGACGCATATTTAAATTGCTGAGGTAGTACGGATTTTGCTCGTATCTGCCGTTATACTGGGAGTCTATCAACAGGCTGATGGAGAGACGCACCCAAATGAATGAGTAACCTCCTGCTCTTACCTTCTCTAGTCCCTCCGCCACCGACAGAGTCTTGTGGAAACAAGTGAAAAATACATAGTAATTTCGTATATTTACTGATGTTTTGGGTGATATAATTTAACTGAGTTGAATGCAAGATATTTTTGCATCACAACATAGATAGGAGCTTATGCAACTGATACTTGCTTGCTACCGAGTTCTCATGGAAAAGAAGCATGTGAGTTATCCCTGTACTGCTTAATACCTTAGACAAAGGCAAATCTGTGTATGCCAACCTTTCACCTTCTATCCTAACTACAGATAATTTAACCAGGTTGATTGGATAATTGGGTTCTAATCCCATTAACCATGCTGGTATCATTTACGCTTCATGGGTACCTAATGCCCGAGTGCATAATTGCATTATGTTATAAATACAACCATCACAATCAAATTAATTAGATGACATAACCGGGTGGCTTAGTGGAAACTACATTGTGTGTCTGGTGAGGAAGACTTATGATCGAGATTCGAGTCACTTCGACAGCTGGAATTGTTTCATAGAAATGTTTTTTTCTTGTGTTAAATATACAGTAATTTCTCCAGATACGGTTGCAGCATACATATATATATGTGTTTCACACGTATCTATCCATGAGTTACGTATGTACTGTCTATTTCCATTTCTTACAATCCATTGCATGCAATATTTAGCAAGGATTTCTTATAAAACTAGTTAAGATTTGAAGTTAATTTGTCTTTACGTTAAAACTTGGTTTCAAATCGAATCGTAATTACCTAATAAAGCCTTAAAACTCAGATTGTATAGTTTCTCCTACAAAAATACAACACGTAATTGTCGTTGCTTAGATGGAGTTGCTTATTTGTAGAAAACAAAGTCAACAGTACACTTAGACGTGGTATATACCCCGAGTGATGCATGTCTCCCAATGCATATGTGATGCGAGTTCATTCTAATCTCTGTTCTAGAAATTATAGTATTCTAGACTGCTGGTGAACAGGTGACATACAGCCTTATTGTCCCTTTGAGTAGTCGACAGGTTTTAACTAACTAGTAATAAATTCAATAATTCGAAAAAGTTTTCTAATAAAAACTTTACATACTAACATCCATTTCCTTATATATTTTTTGTATTACTGGGTCTGTATGCTGTGAGAAGTAGAGCAACACAGCTCCAGTTAGAACCCGGGTTTCAGCACCCCACTTCCAGTTCTTTAGAGTCACAAGGTCTTCGAAGGTTTCAGGGGGCTTGGTCTTTCCCTGGACTGACAGGTGAGCAACTAACGAGGAAGTGTATCCTGTAGTAATGACCAGACAGAACATCAGCCAGACGCCCACCAACACCTGTAAACATAGGAGAAGCTGTATTCTGTGGTTATGGTCAGACAGAAACAGGTAGTAAATATTTATTCGCCTCTCAAAATATACAAATAATCATAAAATAGTAAAGTTATTACTTTTCCACTTGTAAAGGAAAACCTGGATTTTGTACTCTGCTGATGGTTAACATAAATTATGGTGCTAAAAAATTAACCTAATTATAAATATCTTTTACCTAATACCTGAATCAATACATAACTTACAGGATGAAAGCACAAAGATTATTGAGTTGAAAATAAAAAAAAAAATATTTAAAGGGGTACCAACCCCTGGCTTTTCTTCGAGGTACTTGGGATCCCTCTGTCTTTGAAAGACTTGGAGAAGTGTAAGGAACTAGAAATTAGGCATTAAAGCTACCCCTTGGACATGTAATTTGTGGATAATTTGTGGAGTATTTATAAACTATTCGATTTTCCCACATGGAATAATAAATAATGGATCATCAAGAATTTTAAGCAATCGAATGTTATGCACGACATCAGAAAAGAGCCTCCATCATAGAGATAGAATTTTACTTTTCCTGCTTTGTTGACAGAAGGGTCAGACGGTAAGTTTGCGAGGAGGGCGCCCCAGCCATACAGGAGGATGGAGACGAAATTGACCCCACGTTTACCTGTCAACCACCACCATACCTTCTGCAGCAGCCATAGGATCACTCCCCACACCGTGACACACGCTAGCAACGACAGCCACAGTTCTCCTGGAGAAGTGACATCTTTTAAATATCTGGGTAAAGAAACACAACTGATGCAACAAATTATTCCTTCATATTGAGGGAGGCACTCTTATTATGAAGCCAATGACGTACGTGAAAGAGGTTTAGATAGCGAGAGGAGTTGTGGCAAGAGGGTTGGCCTCAGTGATACTATGGTCAGCGGGTCAACCCTGTTATAACTCAGGAAATCCATGTAGGGAATCCGTTCAGCAATTGTTACCATTGGTCCACTAATGTCTATCTCTTCCCGCTGCAGTTGTCCCACCATGCCAGTGAAGGAGCCATTCTTCTGCATACCATAAGATCTCTCAGGCTGCTCTCGGATTTCAAAACTGGTGATTATACAATAAAATACACAAATGTAGCTGCAGTTATTTTCGAAGATATAATGTAAACGAATATATGATTTTAAGTAGCCCAAAATGAGTTAAAATACACCAGATGGAATATTCCTAAACGAAAATACCATAAATTTGATATATTTTCATCTTTAAAAAATTCGTCTTTAAAAAAAGTACAATATAGTTGATGTTTTTATAGCTGAATCATCCATTAAAAAATTTCACGTCAGAAACAGAGGCCTTTACCTAATATTGAGTCTTTCAGCGAAGAGAAACAGCAGTCTAGCATCAAGGCCATTTTTAAGCGTCACAGTGCTGCCTGGTTTATCACTGTCCGCAGTGTAATCCGTATAAGCGATGTTAACCAGAGTTGAAAACTGCATTTTAGTGTTCCAAAAGTTAAGGAATTGCTCTGTTAAAGAAGTATAGATTTTATATGATGACAAATCTCGGTCAAATCATGAATAATCATGATTATTATAAACATATTCGTGTGACTTATTAAATATTCATCTTATGAGAGATGTGATGATTATACATTCAGTTTGTTTAGTTAGGATGATATGAGTATGTGTGGGTTGTTATTGTGATACAGTGTATGATGATAAAATGATGAAGTTTTATGACTTTCTGATCGCGGGTTCTAACCCCGCCCGTGGTGCGGTTTGTTTGCAATCGAGTCATTACGGTGTGAATTGAATGAATGTAAGAATGAGGATAATAATGTGAATTTTTAGAGTAATTTAAGTGTGTGATGTAAGTTAACATAGTTATAGATTATTAGTGTGATCTATTGTGAGGTATTTTAGTGCGAGAGTTTGCTCTATATAACGCTAATTAATCTCTACTTTGTGGAACTAGAGAGACCGGATGTGTCCTCTCTCTCTCTCTCTCTCTCTACTCTCTTTCTCTATACCCCAACTGAGTATATGAATGTTTCGTGTGGATAAGGGAGCTGGTGAAATTAATAATAAGTGAAATTTGCTGAGAACCTATAATACATAAACGTGATTTCGATAAAGTTAGATCCAAGGAAGAGAATGGAAGGTACAGTCTCTTGGATTTAATCCCTCACCGACGTCAAGAAACCTATGTTATGGGGCTAAATCCGAATGAACCAATCAGTGCTTACCTTGAAATAAGTCATTACTGATTTGAGTAACTGAAGTGAGGTTCCACAGGTGGAGGAGCTGGACGTCTGCTTCTCCGCTGTTACAGTAAAGACACCTCCGATACACCCACACACCTCCACTCACTAGTGTGTATGATTACATAAAAGTTACACACACACACACACAACACACATACACACATACACACACACACACACACACACACACACACACACACACACACACACACACACACACACACACACACACACACACACACACACACACACACACACACAAAGACAATATGAAAATGACATAGCAGCGAAAGCCAAATCTGACCCGAAACTGTTGTACAGCCATATCAGGAGGAATACAACAGTCAAGGACCAGGTAATCAGGCTAAGGAAGGAAGGAGGAGAGACAACAAGAAATGACCGTGAAGTATGTGAGGAACTCAACAAGAGATTCAAAGAAGTGTTCACAGAGGAGACAGAAGGGGCTCCAGAAAGACGGAGAGGTGGGGCACACCACCATGTGCTGGACACAGTGCACACAACCGAGGAAGAAGTGAAGAGGCTTCTGAGTGAGCTAGATACTTCAAAGGCAATGGGGCCAGATAACATCTCCCCATGGGTATTGAGAGAGGGAGCAGAGGCGCTATGTGTACCCCTAACAACAATATTCACTACATCTATCGAAACAGGGAGATTGCCTGAGCCATGGAAGACAGCAAATCTTTAAAAAAGGAGACAGACATGAAGCATTAAACTACAGACCAGTGTCACTGACATGTATAGTATGCAAAATCATGGAGAAGATTATCAGGAGAAGAGTGGTGGAACACCTAGAAAGGAATGATCTCATCAACAGCAGCCAACATGGTTTCAGAGACGGGAAATCCTGTGTCACAAACCTACTGGAGTTTTATGACATGGTGACAACAGTAAGACAAGAGAGGGGTGGGTGGATTGCATATTCTTGGACTGCAAGAAGGCGTTTGACACAGTTCCACACAAGAGATTGGTGCAAAAACTGGAGGACCAAGCAGGGATAACAGGGAAGGCACTACAATGGATGAGGGAATACTTGTCAGGAAGACAGCAGCGAGTCATGGTACGTGGCGAGGTGTCAGAGTGGACACCTGTGACCAGCGGGGTCCCACAGGGGTCAATCGTAGGACCAGTGCTTTTTCTGGTATTTGTGAACGACATGACGGAAGGAATAGACTCTGAGGTGTCCCTGTTTGCAGATGACGTGAAGTTGATGAGAAGAATTCACTCGATCGAAGACCAGGCAGAACTACAAAGGGATCTGAACAAGCTGCAGACCTGGTCCAGCAATTGGCTCCTGGAGTTCAATCCCACCAAGTGCAAAGTCATGAAGATTGGGGAAGGGCAAAGAAGACCGCAGACGGAGTACAGTCTAGGGGGCCAGAGACTACAAACCTCACTCAAGGAAAAAGATCTTGGGGTGAGTATAACACCAGGCACATCTCCTGAAGCGCACATCAACCAAATAACTGCTGCAGCATATGAGCGCCTAGCAAACCTCAGAACAGCATTCCGACATCTTAATAAGGAATCGTTCAGGACCCTGTACACCGTGTACGTTAGGCCCATATTGGAGTATGCGGCACCAGTTTGGAACCCACACCTAGCCAAGCACGTAAAGAAACTAGAGAAAGTGCAAAGGTTTGCAACAAGACTAGTCCCAGAGCTAAGAGGTATGTCCCACGAGGAGAGGTTAAGGGAAATCAACCTGACGACACTGGAGGACAGGAGAGATAGGGGGAAAATGATAACGACATACAAAATACTGAGAGGAATTGACAAGGTGGACAAAGACAGGATGTTCAAGAGATTGGACACAGTAACAAGGGGACACAGTTGGAAGTTGAAGACACAGATGAATCACAGGGATGTTAGGAAGTATTTCTTCAGCCACAGAGTAGTCAGTAAGTGGAATAGTTTGGGAGGCGATGTAGTGGAGGCAGGATCCATACATAGCTTTAAGCAGAGGTATGATAAAGCTCACGGCTCAGGGAGAGTGACCTAGTAGCGATCAGTGAAGAGGCGGGGCCAGGAGCTCGGACTCGACCCTCGCAACCTCAACTAGGTGAGTACAACTAGGTGAGTACACACACACACACACACACACACACACACACACACACACACACACACACACACACACACACACACACACACACACACACACACACACATATTTATATATATATATATATTAATATATATATATATATATAGATATATATATATATATATATATATATATATATTATATTATTAGTGATCATGGCCAAATGGAGCAAGGTTCGAAGTCCTTGGCTAGTGCAGTGTTGTATTGCTATAGTGTTATATGAATATATATATATATATATATATATATATATATTAATATATATATATTATATATAATATATATATTATATTTATATTATTTATTTTATATGTAAATAAACGTTCCACGCATTTATATATAAGTAAATAACTGCAAATTAATTTAGAAACATTATCTTACTTTGTTAATTTGTTATCAATTTCGCAAGTTTTAAATATCTGTTTTTTCCGAAATTCGTAAGTTGCAGAAACTTTACACTGTTATAGCAAAATCATTTCGTCGTCAGGCATCAACAGTATTAAGGACGTAGGTACTGACCTTGTGCAACGGGCTTCCTGTGGCGTAAGTTACGTAGTGGTGTATGGAGGGGAAGGGTTTCGAGAGTGAGGTGATGGATAGTGAGGTCGTGGAGGGCCAGGTAGAGGGCGTGGATAGTGTTGTGGAGGCTATGGTGGAGAAGCACCTCCATCACCCCCGCCTTTCCTCCCACAACAAGCACAAGAGTCTCTGGTAGCTTCCATAGTTCAGCTTCCTCAAGAAATCTGCATAAGTTACCAGAGTATTAATAAATCCTTTTCTCCTGTTAAATATTCAAGAAGTGATTGCATGTGTTTATTGAAAAAGTAAAACACATCCAATTTCTTAAATAAAATTATCATTAAAGAAATCTTTTTTACATTGATATGCAAACTGTTTTGTTTATTAGCAAAAATTAATGTGTATGGAAAAGTTAACTGCACCTGGAAACAAAACCAAGTGACATATGTTGTATTTTAATTATACTGTATCAGATACCCCTTAACTCCAGACTTCAGGAGCAGCTGAAAAGTTACCTTAAGACAAGATCAGTACTGTTGGTGTAGGTGAGGTCAAGGATAAGACCCCGGCATGTGGTTCTAGCATCACCCCATAATCCAGGGAGAAGGTGGTCCTGGGAGAGCATCCATCCTGCCCCCACCACCACCCGAGCCTCTCCATTTTCACACAGGTGCCTGCTGGATACAAACTTATACTCTTCATGCAGCTCCTGTGAGGTGGTGATAGAACTGGTTCTGGGTAAACGGTGATAGCATTAACAGCGTCACGGGAAAACGTCACAATCTTGGCTACAACAAAATATTCCTTTAATAGTGCATTAACACGCGAGAAAACATCAAAGTATATGGACACTTGTCAGTGGTTTGAGGAAACCCCAGAAGCAATGTAAGACAGTATACTGTTTTTGACATTTATTGAGAAAAAGCATCGTCCACCAGGATCTCTGTTTACATAAAGAGATTTAATTCTTTTTCTACATGAATTTTGTATGGAAATTGTATGGGATCACTTAAGTTCTGATTCATACGTAATAATTTCACCTGAGAATGTTGGAGGTAATGAGTGAGTGAGGTGCAGTGGTGATGAGCACCAGGTGACAGCCACTCAGATAATCCTCCACCACCTGACCCACCATCACTCCCACATCCACGCCCACCTGCTCCGCGGTTTTGCCCACATCTTGGCCAGCTACGGGCGCAGTGTTGATAACTGTCGAAGCTGACACTGCGAGGCAAATTTCGAGCAACATCGTTCTTCGATAATTTACGTTCACCTGTACTGAAAATCTGTATTGAATATGTTGTCCCAGGGGAGAAATTTGAAATTATACCTGACCTATATTTTCCCCAGTGAAGTATTAGGGTATTGCATGTTTATGGAATGCTATTCCATGATTTTTTTCTTTGTCACTACAGTCTGATTTGTGTGTGATGGTAGCTGCTTCCTCAAGGATGTTGTGGGTTTTCCTATGATGCATAAATACACCCAGCTGGACGAATCTTATTGCAGCCAGCTGGCCCATTTGCTAGCGCGTCGGTTTGGAGTTTTATGACTCTGATCGCGGGTTCTAACCTCGCCCGTGGTATGGTTTTGTTTATTTTGAAATAAGGTCGAGCTTTCGTTTTCCCTAACATTTGACCATTTATGTTTGACGATCTGTGCTTCTAAAAGTCTGGCCAGTTATCCCCTTCTAAAAAATAATAATAATAAAAAAAACATTTAATGGGTTGGCCGGTAAGCCAGCGGAAGGCCTCGGTCCAATGGCCAAAGGTTCCAGCGGCAGGCTCATCATATTACAAAGAACTGCGTCAGGAAGCTTGTCCTGTTTCTTTACGAACCTTACCTAACCTGCCCATCTATAACAGACTGCAGTCTTTACACTGGATCATCATGATAGCCTCCTGGTGTAGCAGTGGTACAGATTTCTGTATTCAGTAAATAAATATAATAGTTTTTTTATGTGGATATATTATTACATTTATGGGGAGCGCTAAATCCGTAAGGATCATGCAGCGCCTGAGGGAATGAGAAGGCAATCAGGTTCGATCCAACAAAGGGAAAGTCAGATTCAATTCTTTGGATCAACAGCTCCTCACCAGCATCAAGCAATCTCACTTGATATCTTTATTTCATTCATTATTAACACCGAGGAATTACAATGCTTCATTTACCTCAACTTTTTCATTTATTTTAATAAATAAATAAAAAAGTTACTGTATAACAGTGATTTATTATCAAAAAGACAATTATCTAGTTATTTTTATTTAAGGAATCACTACATTATTATCGCAATCTGTTATAAAATAAGGAGACTTCAGAACTCTGTTGAATGGTTTCCAAATTCTCTAACAATGGAACAGCTTAGTTTATTGTTCCGCTTATTTAACTAACTTTTTAATCTTTGTTAAATCCGTGAATTGCAGAACAATGATATGACAGATGATTTCCCCTTGTTAAAGTCTTACAGTTGTTTAGTAAATAGAAGGAAGGAAGAGGTAGCGCCAATTCCCTGGAACAAGAGTCCTTCACCAGCAACAAGGCACCATTCAGAGCTAAATTATAAATGTTGAATGTTTCTCGTGTCACATTATTTCTCCTGGAACTAGAAAGCTAGGTCATTTAGCAAGCCAGGTCACGTGAATTCTTAAGGAATATCACATGAACCAGCAAGCCAGGTCACGTAAACTAGCAAGCCAAATCACATGAAGTTATCGTAGTCATTAATGATAGCCGTATCCATATCCAGGAGTCATAATATCACTAACAGACATTTTTCCAGGAATGTTACGTCTGCAAAAGAGTAAATAATATTCAGTCATAATTTGCTGAGAGACGTGTTGCCAATAACAGTCTATGGTTTTTGGGTTGTAATGAAGATGCAGTTTATGTGAGAGATGAGAAACAGGTGTCACGTTCCTCTGTTGTGCAGTGGTGGTAGATGAGGTCAGTTTTTTCTTAGGATATTGTGACGGCTTTTTGTGACACCGCTCAGTAACTCTTGCTTCGTCAACCCATTTATTTATGCATTTATAAACAGTGGAGACACCAATTTGATGTTTCAGCGCAATTTCTAGTGCTGACATACCGCCCAGGTACAGCATTACAGCTTGGGTTCGCTCGGTCGTTGTCAGGCGCTTTGCTGAAGTTCTCCTCTGCATTGGAGTTCTGTCAAACTGAAATGTGATGCGTTTGTTTACTTTTGTGGTGCAGAAAGTAAGTTTATAACAAATGACTCAATTAACTTTTAATTAGCAAATAAATTTGTGCATATTCAATGGTTTTTCTTCTAAAAATGTAAATCTTGTAAGGTGTTGTTGTAATATGTACGGTTAAGAATGACCAATCCTCTTTTGTCTATTGTTAGGATGAGAATGTTATAATCGGACTCATTTCTGAGTTTATGGATGTAGCGGCAGGGTGACTAGAGTCCAAAGTGGCTGCAATAATGAGTCCTTGTAGGAAACCGTCGTAAAACTTATAGTGGCCAAAGTTGTGGTTTTGGATCACCATATCTAACTTATATAAAAGTTGCTATAATCCTATGCCAGAAGACACGATTTACTAGGCTACGCCAACACTCTTGTCTCCGATTATGGTTCGCTTAGACTCATACACATAATGACTCTTGAAGATCCTCCTCACACTGGGTATTGACAGCATCTACCTCAAGCTGGTAGGGGCTTGAGCCATATATTTGTCAAAATTTCTAGGAATTTGTGAAGCTCACCTAAACAACGTGGGTGACCTTCTTGGTCGCGTAAGGAAACTCGTAAGTGATAAGAAACTCGCGAGTTTCGACGTCGCTGCCTTATTTACAAATGTACAAGTCGACCCAGACCTTCTAAGCAGGGTGAATACTGAAGATATAGAATTGTTTGTTTCTTGCCAAGTTTTTAAATTTCATTGGATTATAGGTACGTTGAGAGAAATAAATTCAAGCAACTGTTCTGGCTGGCCATGGGATAACCCGTGGTCAGAATCTCCACGACTATGGTGCTCTTCGCACCTACTCCTAGGTTGAGGGACTGATTACCTCATCTTCTGTACATAGTTCTACTGTCTTCAAGTTATGTCCTAGAATTTGTATTGATAAAGCCACTGGATGGCGAAACGTCTACAATAAAGATACCCAGATGTTGCATATGTGTCTTAATCTCAAGATAGTCATATACTGAGAGTTCAAGTCTAGCAGTACTTTTCTGAGCAAATCCACTACATCAGCAGGTTTCTATAGCAAAAATATATACGATGAATCAAATTATTCTTACCTATAAAAGTTTAAACTTACAGATACTCCAGCGTCCTTAATAATTTACATACTTTTTGAAATTAAAAATACACCAACACCATGAATAGTGTTCCTAGAGACATTATTTAAAAAAAAAAATTGTAAGAGAGGATAACATCTCTTTGGCAATACAATTCCTGGCTCAGTTACATTCTTAATACTTCAAAACCTCTTCAATAGCTTTTATTTGTTCTTGTGCTCCACAAACAAAAATTTCCCACTAGTATATTAATAAATCTTCACTATCTCTTATGTTTAAGTTAATCACCACAGGTAAATTATTTTCAGTTTGTTTGGGGACAGCGTACCTTTCGATGACTGTGCTGTTTGGCAGACTGTGCGTCCTGGGACGACACTCAATAAACAATGCAGCAATATCCGTGGCGTGAAGCCTTTATAACCGGGAGGCAGCGAGCGCATTTCAAGTTACCAATAACATTAATCCGACTCGTGAAGGATTTTTAGTAGTGTGTGTGTGTGTGTGTGTGTGTGTGTGTGTGTGTGTGTGTGTGTGTGTGTGTGTGTGTGTGTGTGTGAGTGTGTGTGTACTCACCTAATTGTACTCACCTAATAGCGGTTGCAGGGGTCGAGACTCAGCTCCTGGCCCCGCCTCTTCACTGATCGCTACTAGGTCCTCTCTCTCTCTGCTTCCTGAGCTGTATCATACCTCTTCTTAAAACTATGTATGGTTCCTGCCTCCACTACTTCACTTGCTAGGCTATTCCACTTCCTGACAACTCTTTGACTGAAGAAATACTTCCTAACGTCCCTGTGACTCGTCTGAGTCTTCAGCTTCCAGTTGTGACCCTTGTCCCTGTGTCCCTCTGTGGAACATCCTGTCTCTGTCCACCTTGTCTATTCCTCGCAGTATCTTGTATGTCGTTATCATGTCTCCCTTGACCCTTCTGTCCTCCAGTGTCATCAGTCCGATTTCCCTCAACCTTTCCTCGTACGACATTCCCCTGAGCTCTGGGACTAGCCTTGTTGCAAACCTTTGTACTTTCTCTAACTTCTTGACGTGCTTGACCAGGTGTGGGTTCCAGACTGGTGCTGCATACTCCAGTATGGGCCTAACATACACAGTGTACAGTGTCTTGAACGATTCCTTATTAAGGTATCGGAACGCTATTCTCAGGTTTGCCAGGCGACCGTATGCTGCAGCAGTTATTTGGTTGATGTGTGCCTCCGGTGATGTGCTCGGTGTTATGGTCACCCCAAGGTCTTTCTCCTTGAGTGAGGTCTGTAGTCTTTGTCCACCTAGCCTATACTCTGTCTGCGGTCTTCTTTGCCCCTCCCCAATCTTCATGACTTTGCATTTGGCTGGATTGAATTCGAGAAGCCAGTTACTGGACCACATGTCCAGCCTGTCCAAGTCTCTTTGCAGTCCTGCCTCATCCTCGTCCGATTTAATTCTTCTCATCAACTTCACATCACCTGCGAACAGGGACACTTCAGAGCCTATTCCTTCCATCATGTCGTTCACATATATCAAAAATAGCACTGGTCCTAGAACTGACCCCTGTGGGACCCCGCTCGTCACAGGCGCCCACTGTGATACCTCTTCACGTACCATGACTCGTTGCTGCCTCCCTGTCAGGTATTCCCTGATCCATTGCAGTGCCCTCCCTGTTACCTGCGCCTGATCCTCCAGCTTCTGCACTAATCTCTTCTGGGGAACTGTGTTAAAGGCCTTCCTGCAGTCTAGGAAAACGCAATCTACCCACTCCTCTCTCTCGTGTCTTACTTCTGTTACCTTGTCATAAAACTCCAGGAGGTTTGTGATACAAGATTTGCCTTCGATGAACCCATGCTGGTTTTCATTTATAATCTTGTTCCTTTCCAGGTGTTCGACCACTCTCCTCCTGATAATCTTCTCCATGACTTTGCACACAATACATGTCAGAGACACAGGTCTGTAGTTTAGCGCCTCGTTTCTGTTTCCTTTCTTAAATATGGGGACTACATTAGCTGTCTTCCATTTCTCAGGTAGTTGCCCAGTTTCAAGGGATGTGTTGAAGATTGTGGTTAGAGGCACGCACAGCATCTCTGCTCCTTCTCTAAGGACCCATGGGGAGATGTTGTCCGGTCCCATCTCCTTTCAGGTGTCAAGGTCACTTAGGAGCTTCTTCACCTCCTCCTCGGTTGTTCGTATGTCATCCAACACTTGTTGGTATATTCCCTCTTGATGTTCCCTTCTGTGCTGTCTTCCCACAGCCCTTCCTGTCTCTACTGTAAAACTTCCTTAAATCTCCTGTTCAGCTCCTCACATACCTCCTGTTCAGCTCCTCACATACCTCCTGATCATTTCTTGTGAGTTCTCCACCTTCTGTCCTTAATCTGATCACCTGGACTTTGACTGTTGTCTTCCTCCTGATGTGGCTATACAACAGTTTCGGGTCAGTCTTGATTCTCGATGCTATGTCATTTTCATACTGTCGCTGGGCCTCCCTCCTTACCTGTGCATACTCATTCCTGGCTCTGCGACTGATCTCCCTAATTTCGTGTGTTCTCTGCCTTCTGTACTTTTTTAATTCTCTATTGCACTTTGTTTTTGCCTCCTTACACCGTTGGGTAAACCAGGGGCTCGTTCTGGTCTTCCCGTTGTTACTGTTGCCCTTGGGAATAAACCTTTCCACTGCCTCCTTGCATTTTGTTGTTACATATTCCATAATTTCATTTACTGGTTTTCCTGCCAGTTCTCTGTCCCACTGGACCTCCCGCAGGAAGTTCTTCAACCCTATGTAGTCCCCTCTTTTATAGTCAGGCTTTTCCCATTCAACTCCTGTTATTCTCTCCACTTGCAGCTCTACTATGTATTCAAAGCACAGAACCACGTGGTCGCTAGCTCCTAGGGGACTCTCATACTTGATGTCCTCAATGTCTGAACTGCCCAGGGTGAACACAAGGTCCAATCTTGCTGGTTCATCCTCCCCTCTCACTCTGGTAGTGTCCTTAACATGTTGGTGCATGAGGTTTTCCAGCACCACGTCCAACATCCTGGCTCTCCATGTTTCGGGACCCCCATGTGGCTCCAGGTTTTCCCAGTCAATCTCCCTGTGGTTGAAATCCCCCATAACCAGCAACTTTGCTCTGCTGGAGTGAGCTCTTCTTGCCACCTCAGCAAGTGTGTCCACCATTTCTCTGTTGCTCTCTTCATATTTCTCTCTTGGCCTCCTGCAGTTCTGTGGTGG